ACACACACACACACACACACACACACTCTCTCACACACACACACACACTCGCACACACACTATTTGTCAAATAAAAAGACTATTTGATTTGATGACTAATCAACACTCTGATGACTGATTTGGGAACCAGTTTTTATCAGTTAAATGAGACAAAATCAACTAATGAAGCACTCATGAAGTGTTGTTTTGTTTCAGTGGAGACGATCTGAACAGCAGTCACCTGAGTCTGAGTGAACACAACACACTCTTCAAAGACAAAGAGCAGATAGACGGTAAACACACACACAAACACACACGTGTGTATGTCTCACAGCGAGCGGAGTTTAACCTCTGTGTGTGTGTAGATCACGACTCAGACTCTGACAGCGATCTCTCGGAGCTGGAGGACGATCAGAGCGGCTCGTATGCGTCCACACACTCGTCCGACAGCGAGGAAGACGAGGGCGAGTTCCCGCAGGAGGAATGCTGGGAGAATCTGGCCACCAGCGGCCCCATCAAACCTCACGGTACGACATCAGGCGGTTCACGCGACTCTGCGCTTCTGTTAGCGTGTCTGACGTCTATCTGTTCATCAGATGTGTGGGAGGGTGAGACGGGAGCAGCAGACGAGCGTCTGAAGGTGGAGACGCTGTCCAAACCCGAGGACAGAGCAGAGGATCATGGGACGGAAAACCTGCTGCTGCTGCTGGCCAGTTTACCAAACACCAGCGCACCGCCACACAAAGGTCTGAACGAGCGAACGGACGAAATATTCTTGAGTTAACTAGAATTATAACCACACCGATAACTGTAATGATAACTATAACAATAATTATAACTTACCGATAACTATAACAATAATTGGACTGGTAACTACAATGATAACTATAACAATAACTATAAATATACTGATAACTATAGTGATAACTATAATTATGATAACATAAGAATAACTATACCAATAACTGTAATTATGATAACTATACAGATAACTATAATTATAAAAATGCGATAACTATATAATTATAGCTACAATGATAATAACTATTACCATAACTATCATTTTATCAATATTATTATAACTATATAATATACAATTACTATATTACAACTAAAACAATAACTAATATACTAGTGATAACTAATTATAAATATAACTACAATGATAACTGTAACAAAGGCTGTACTTAAAACTATAATAGCTATAAATTTAACTATACCGATACTTAATGCCTAAGTGATACCGATATAATTGTAATGATACCGATACTAACTATATCGACATCTAATAATTATAATAACTATAATTATAACTATATTATTAACTATACTACAACCACAATGATAACTATAATTGTAATTATTAAAACAGCAATAACTATAATGATAATTATAACAATACTTATAATAACTATTTGTATCTATAATGATAACTAATTATAACTATAACTATGACTAGCTGTAAGTGCTGCTGCCCAGTGTAAAGTGTGTTCAGTTTTAACGTGTGACCATGCCGCGCAGGAATCCTGAAGAAGAAGCAGCTGTCGCCCATCGCCGAGAGGAACGCCATCAATCACATACACAACCAGCTGTCTGGAGACTCCGCCTCCTCACGGGGCCCCTCCTCCAGCGAGGGCCGAGGGGGCGGGGCTAGACGGGATTATCAGAATGGGGCGTCCACGAGCGGAATGACGAAAATGCTCGACAACGACTCGTCTGAATCTGAGTGAGTGATTGATGTCCACTGATCTGTGCTCTTACTGTGACTGATTCATCAGTGACATTACTGTCAAATTTATATTAGAAAATCACAATGTTAATTTTAGGATATTATAATATCTTTATGCCTTATAGGGTTAAGGGGGCCGCACACCGGACGAGAAGCGCCGCGCCACGTCTTTAAAATTCGAACACATTGTTTTCTATGAGAGTACGCACACTGGCGGCGCCCAGCTACGACTCAGGACGCTGTTCAAATTACTGCCGCGCCACAGAGCGCCATCTGCATAGTTTTATATTAAATAACATCATATTTGTCTCAAATCGTTGTTAATACATTATAACAAGATACCACTTCTTCAAAATACTACATACATTAGTTTTACAGCTTGAATAAAATGTAAACATATAGAATTAAATGTATAATAAACGTAGTCCTTTTAATCTTTTATTTTTCTCTTGAGACATTTTTACATACGCAAAATATTACAGTATTGGCCTATGTAACATAGTTGCCTAGACAACAGATACAACAAAACAATAACAGACTTATCATAACACAGATTCTTTTCACTGATTAACGTTCAAAACTCAGCTATTATCAATTAAAATAATATATTTAAAATAATAATAAATGAAGTTTAAACCCACCCATCTTGCAGCTCAGAACTTGATTCGAAATTGAGCTCGCGCGTATAGAATGTGCGCGTCCGGTGTGCGATACCTCGAGTTGTCCTAGACGGGGCGCTGCGCTTCTCGTCTGGTGTGCGACCCCCTTTAGGGTTAGCTGGGTGATAATATAGTTATATTTTGCGATGAAATATAAAACTCAAGCAGTGGAGATTTGCTACATAGTATATAGTTTTACGAGTGTACTGTATGTATGCAGATAAATATATATACAACTTTATATAAAGTGCCTGTGCAATAATAGTTTACATTTTGATATATATGCAACTATACTATATATCCAACTTTATATATAGAGCTGTGATAATAGTCTACATTTTGCTTTATATGCAACTATACTATATATCCAACTTTATATATAGAGCTGTGATAATAGTCTACATTTTGCTTTATATGCAACTATACTATATATCCAACTTTATATATAGAGCTGTGATAATAGTCTACATTTTGCTTTATATGCAACTATACTATATATCCAACTTTATATATAGAGCTGTGATAATAGTCTACATTTTGCTTTATATGCAACTATACTATATATCCAACTTTATATATAGAGCTGTGATAATAGTCTACATTTTGCTTTATATGCAACTATACTATATATCCAACTTTATATATAGAGCTGTGATAATAGTCTACATTTTGCTTTATATGCAACTATACTATATATCCAACTTTATATATAGAGCTGTGATAATAGTCTACATTTTGCTTTATATGCAACTATACTATATATCCAACTTTATATATAGAGCTGTGATAATAGTCTACATTTTGCTTTATATGCAACTATACTATATATCCAACTTTATATATAGTGCTGTGCGATAAGTTATATTTTGCTATATATCCAAATATACTATATATCCAACTTTATATATAGTGCTGTGCGATAATATCATTATATTTTGCTATATATCCAACTATACTATATATCCAACTTTATATATAGTGCTGTGCGATAATATCGTTATATTTTGCTATATATCCAACTATACTATATATCCAACTTTATATATAGTGCTGTGCGATAATATCGTTATATTTTGCTATATATCCAACTATACTATATATCCAACTTTATATATAGTGCTGTGCGATAATATCGTTATATTTTGCTATATATCCAACTATACTATATATCCAACTTTATATATAGTGCTGTGCGATAATATCGTTATATTTTGCTATATATCCAACTATACTATATATCCAACTTTATATATAGTGCTGTGCGATAATATCGTTATATTTTGCTATATATCCAACTATACTATATATCCAACTTTATATATAGTGCTGTGCGATAATATCGTTATATTTTGCTATATATCCAACTATACTATATATCCAACTTTATATATAGTGCTGTGCGATAATATCGTTATATTTTGCTATATATCCAACTATACTATATATCCAACTTTATATATAGTGCTGTGCGATAATATCGTTATATTTTGCTATATATCCAACTATACTATATATCCAACTTTATATATAGTGCTGTGCGATAATATCGTTATATTTTGCTATATATCCAACTATACTATATATCCAACTTTATATATAGTGCTGTGCGATAATATCGTTATATTTTGCTATATATCCAACTATACTATATATCCAACTTTATATATAGTGCTGTGCGATAATATCGTTATATTTTGCTATATATCCAACTATACTATATATCCAACTTTATATATAGTGCTGTGCGATAATATCGTTATATTTTGCTATATATCCAACTATACTATATATCCAACTTTATATATAGTGCTGTGCGATAATATCGTTATATTTTGCTATATATCCAACTATACTATATATCCAACTTTATATATAGTGCTGTGCGATAATATCGTTATATTTTGCTATATATCCAACTATACTATATATCCAACTTTATATATAGTGCTGTGCGATAATATCGTTATATTTTGCTATATATCCAACTATACTATATATCCAACTTTATATATAGTGCTGTGCGATAATATCGTTATATTTTGCTATATATCCAACTATACTATATATCCAACTTTATATATAGTGCTGTGCGATAATATCGTTATATTTTGCTATATATCCAACTATACTATATATCCAACTTTATATATAGTGCTGTGCGATAATATCGTTATATTTTGCTATATATCCAACTATACTATATATCCAACTTTATATATAGTGCTGTGCGATAATATCGTTATATTTTGCTATATATCCAACTATACTATATATCCAACTTTATATATAGTGCTGTGCGATAATATCGTTATATTTTGCTATATATCCAACTATACTATATATCCAACTTTATATATAGTGCTGTGCGATAATATCGTTATATTTTGCTATATATCCAACTATACTATATATCCAACTTTATATATAGTGCTGTGCGATAATATCGTTATATTTTGCTATATATCCAACTATACTATATATCCAACTTTATATATAGTGCTGTGCGATAATATCGTTATATTTTGCTATATATCCAACTATACTATATATCCAACTTTATATATAGTGCTGTGCGATAATATCGTTATATTTTGCTATATATCCAACTATACTATATATCCAACTTTATATATAGTGCTGTGCGATAATATCGTTATATTTTGCTATATATCCAACTATACTATATATCCAACTTTATATATAGTGCTGTGCGATAATATCGTTATATTTTGCTATATATCCAACTATACTATATATCCAACTTTATATATAGTGCTGTGCGATAATATCGTTATATTTTGCTATATATCCAACTATACTATATATTCAATTTTATATATAGTGCTGTGCGATAATATCGTTACGTTTTGCTATATATCCAACTATACTATACATCCAACTTTATATATAGAGCTGTGCGAAAATATAGTTACGTTTTGCTATATATCCAACTATACTATATATCCAACTTTATAAATAGAGCTGTGCAATAATATAGTTACGTTTTGCTATATATCCAACTATACTATATATCCAACTTTATAAATAGAGCTGTGCAATAATATAGTTACGTTTTGCTATATATCCAACTATACTATATATCCAACTTTATATATAGAGCTGTACAATAATATAGTTGCGTTTTGTTAAATATCCAACTATACTATATATCCAACTTTATATATATAGTGCTGTGCGATAATATAGTTACATTTTGCTATATATCCAACTATACTATATATCCAACTTTATATATAGTGCTGTGCGATAATATCGTTATATTTAGCTATATATTCAACTATACTATATATCCAACTTTATATATAGTGCTGTGTGATAATAGTCTATATCCAACTATACTATACATCCAGCTTTCTATATAGAACTAAGCGATAATATAATTACATTTCGCGATATATCCAACCATACTATATATTCAAGAGCTGTGCAATAAAATTGTTTACATTTAGCTTTATATAGCCAACTATACTACATATCCAACTTTATATGAAAGAGCTGAGATAATATAGTTATGTTTTTCAGTATATTCTTCTATACCATATATCCAATTTAATAAACAGAGCTGTGCGATTTTATTCTTGACATTTTGCTGTATATCCAACTTTATATATAGAGCTGGGTCATAATATAACATATAACAAAATTGTACAAAATGACATTTTGCGATGAAAATTTTCACGTGTCGACGAATCAGATATCGACAGATGTGTGTTTTTCTTTGCAGATGCTGATGAGTGGCGAGGGAATGAAGAGGCGAAGAACAATCGTCCTGTTTCTGTCCCTCCGTTTGATTTTTCCTACATATGACGCGACAGTTGATCTGATTCTCCGTGCCAAACGCTGACGAGAATCTGTCGTTTTTTACATTTTTGTTTACATACTTGAAGCGAAGCACTTTTTTTATTTCTTTCGTCCTCTCGTCGCATCGAAACCACATTTTGAAACGGACATTTTGTAAATGAGTAAAAAAATATCAGGGAATTTCCTCCATGAAGCTGAACTACTGCTGGACTGAGCTGCTGCTGTACGAGCGATAAATGAAGGAACGAATCACTGGAAGAACCATGAGAAGGAACCGACTCCCGAGTCAAGCCTTTCACTCGTGTTCGCGATGCCTTCTCCACCAGCAGGGCCTTATTTCGTACCGTTGGAGGAGAGCAACACTTTCCATACTCGCTTTTTTGTACATTTTGGGGACATTTTTATACGAACTTTTAAAAAGACTGACGTTTAAAACCTTTTGAAAGAAACCCTTTGTATTTTATAGATTAGCAATGATGTAAATGTGAATTTAAACCTGTGTTGTACAGCTCTTTAACACGTCACGCAAAAAACACGCAAACCCATCCAAACATTGAATCACATCTGCACGATTTACCCTTTCACCGCGTAAAAATGCAAACGTCACTGCCACCGATGAGTTTTATCACACGATGTGCCGCTTCAATATTCTGAGACACTCTAGAAGGGTCATTTTTGGACTTTTGATAACAAATCATTCTGTACAGTTTTATACACATACGGTTCTTCGCTCTCAGTGCTTTATTATGGAAGCGTGTTTAAGCCATGGGATAAAAAATTAAAAAATGGCAACGTTTTGTCCCACAATTCAGATTTTTTCCCTCAGAGTTGCAAGATACAAACACGCATTCAAAATGTTATGAGATGTTAACTGGAAATTTTGAGATTTTTGATTTACGTTTTTAAATTTTTTATTCCATGTTGGAAACAAAACAAATGCGAAATATAAACTCAGAAATCTGAGAAAAAGGAAAAAATTGTGAGACGTAAACTTGCTTTTGTAAGTTTATAACTCGCAATTTTGTTGGGAAAAGTCAGAATTGCATAACGTAAACAATTCAGAGAAAAAAAAGTTTGATTTGTGAGATGAAAACTTAGATTTAGAAAATTTAGAAAAAATGTAATCAGAATTGTACGATTAAAAAGTCGCAATTACGTTTGAATTTTTTTAATACCGTTGTGAAAACAGAAAAAACAGAATTGCGAAAACAATTTCACTACGTAAACACACAATTATGAGTTTATAACTCGCAACTGCCAAATATAAACTTAAAAGTCTGAACTGTGAGATAAAAAGTTTTAATTACATTTTTTATTTTATTCCATGTTGGAAACAAAAAATAAAACAGTTGCGAAATATAAACTGAGAAAAAAGTAAAAATTGTGAGATCTAAACTTGGAATTATGAGTTTATAACAATTTTGTAGAAAAAAGTCAGAATTGCGTAATGTAACCTCACCATTCTGAGAAAAAAGTTAAAAGAGTGATAGAAAGTTGCAATTACATTTTTTTTTTTCTGTGGTGGAAACTTAAAAAGAATTGAGACGTGAATTCAGAACTCTACGAAAAAAAAATCTAAATTGAGAAATGTGAAATCGCAGTTACTTTTCCTGAATTTTGAGGGAAAAGTCACTGTTACCTTTTTATATTTTTCACTCAGTGGCAGAAACGAGCTTCCATCTCTTGTACCTGTATTTCTGTGTGTGTCTGGAAACGCTTCGTAAAACACACTGACGTGAAGTAAACCTTCTGTTTTTAATATGCAGCGTCTCGCAGTTTCTTCATCAAACGCTCCGGAGTCTGAGATCGTCTGTAGGTGACTGTTCAAGGGTTGTTCTGGGTTTTCCAGGCGCTCGTCTCCTGCTCCTCTCTCACACTTTTAGCAGATAGTCTGTCTCTGAGCGTCTGGATTCGTCTCTGAGCGTCTGCGGTGAGAGCGTGATGTGGACCCAGGTTACGTCTGTAAGCTGAACAGCAGACCTTACTGCAGATGACTCAACAAAACAATCAAGGAGAAAACTAAATGTTGTCCTAGATTTTTCCTGATTCTCACACACGGCCTACGATTAAAAAAAATAAAAAAAATTTACCTCAAAAAACTTTCATTAAAAAACGTCTTGTTTTTCCTCGATTAAAAAAGTTACTTTTTTTCCCTTATCAAAAAACATTGTTTTTTTCTCTAAAACTAAATGTTGTCCTAGATTTTTCCTGATTCTCACACACGGCCTACGATTAAAAAAAATAAAAAAATTTTACCTCAAAAAACTTTCATTAAAAAACGTCTTGTTTTTCCTCGATGAAAAAAGTTACTTTTTTCCCTTATCAAAAAACATTGTTTTTTTCTCTCATTAAAAAATCTTTCATTCTTTATCTTTTCTTAAACCTCTCATAAGAGATTTTTTCTTTCATCAAAAATGTTTTATTTTTCTCTCTCACGTCTCATTTTTTTCCTCTCATCAAAGAGAAATTTGAACTGAACTGTTATTTGCTTAAGAAACATACTTTTGTCTCCTGTATTTTCTGTTCTGATAACTAAAGGGAAACAAACGGTCTGTTCCTCGATTAAACCACTTCATAGCAGTTCTCAAGGATGTATATGAGCCTCTGTTTGTACAATAATAAATTGAGAATCAACTGAGATGTACCCTTGTGTTGTGTATGTCACTAATTTGGTTCTCCCGCCGTAAAGAGAGAGATTGCTGCAGATCGACTTGGTTGTAGAAGACTGTTTACTGACCATAAAAATGATCTTACACGTACCTAAACAACGAGCAGGTAAAACCATCATAATAAACACTAGCTGCCATCAAAAGAATGAGCCCTTATTCCACGGATAAAGTGAATAATCTCACGATGACCATGGGATACTGATATTACAGTCGTCTCTAGCTGGAGACTCAATCGGGTTACAAAAACTGACGTCAGGAAACACCTCTGGCCATTTCTTTGGGTCGTGTGTAAAGTCACAGATACTGTACGGACAACACAGCTCAGTTTTTCTATGTATGTTGCTCTGTTGAACGGCAAAAGTGACTTTAGGCCATACTGGATTTACACCATGCATCTCCTGTCAGCGGGAAAGCCACGCCCCCAGCTATCACATGACCCGAGCAAGTCCATAATTAACACCCTCTCATTAGCATGTTGCGCAGAGGAAAAATAAATGCGGAACTACATTCAGAAATAAATGAGTGATCAAAGGAAAATAAATAGGATGAGTTTAGCATTTCCTTAAACATTTTCCATTTGTCCACCAATTTATATTATTTATTTGCCTACTTTCATCACGTTTAATTATTTATTTATGTATTTAAACAAGAATACATGTATTTATGCACACATTTATTTATTTATTTGTGTATTTATTGTTTTTGCAGGTTTCGTCCTCCATACTCTTAAGCTTCTCATAAATACCAAAAATTCTCACATCAAAACACTTTTTTTTTCTCTTTTCATAAACTTTTTATTTTTTATCTCTTAAATTGTTTTTTGATGAGAGGAAAAATAATTATGAGAAGTTAAGAGATAAAAACAATTTTTTTTTTTAAATGATGAAAACACATTTTTTATGAGATAAGTTTTTTTTAAAGAAAAAAAATACGTTTTTTTGATGAGAACAAAAATGTATGAGTACAAAAGAGTATGAGAAGAATACAAAATGTATTCTTTTTTCTCATCAAAAAACTTTTATCTCTCAAACTTTTCTCGTAAAAACATTTTTTTCATCCCCCCAAATTTTTCTCTCTCATCAAAAAATATAAATTCTCGTACGAAATTTAGGCACAAAAGGCCTACTTGCCTTCCTACAAAATTTCATTTTCATTTCAAATATAATTTTTTCTGCTTATCAAAAAACTTTTTTTTCTCTTTAAAAATGATCTTAAAGAGATTTTTTCTTTCTTCAAAACTTTTTTTGTCAGGAAGCAACAGGAGAAATGCTAGCATGCATTAGCCCCTCGGCCACCAGGCGTCGCTACAGCACGAAAGCTGATGCTTCTGTGAGACATTTACAAGCTTTTGCACATCACAAGACTAAATCAGATTACACCTTTAATATGGCATTTGTTGTCATATGTAACAACCGGAATTATATAAAAGTTTTTGAATATAGAAAGTCTTTATACGGGGAAAAAATTAGATTTATTATCTATATAAAATTTATTTATTTTTTTTTTTTTTTTTTTTTTTTGATGACAGAAAAGTTTTTGATAGAACAAATTTTTTGGATTTAAAAAAGTGTTTTGATGAGGAAAAGGGTTTGACGATGAAACAAGTTTTTGATGAGAGAACTTTTTTGATTAAAAATTGATGAGAAAAAATGTGGTTAGAAAAAAGTTGCTAAGAGAGGAATAACGATTTCTGATGAGGATTTTTTTTGGGGATGACGAAGTTTTTTTGATGAAAGGAAAAAATATTTTATATTATAATGTTTTTGTATAATGAGGGAAAAGGTTTTTTGCGTGAGTGTGTGTGAGTGTGTGCGTGAGTGTGCGTGTGTGAGTGTGTGCGTGAGTGTGTGTGAGAGTGTGTGCGTGAGTGTGTGTGCGTGACAGTGTGAGTGTGTGTGTGCGAGTGTGTGTGTCTGTGCGTGTGTGTGTGCGTGAGTGTGTGTGTGCGTGAGTGTGTGTGCGTGAGTGTGTGTTACATTTCTCCACGTCCAGCAGAATGCGGAGTGTCTCCTCGTCCATGGCGGAGCCCAGCGGCAGTGGCACCTGCACACACACACACACACACACACACACACACACACACACACACACACACACCTGAGCTCTCTGCGCTCTGCACTGGGAGTGTTAGTGATGCTGAGGCTCACGGTGGATCGCAGCTGGAGCTCCTGCTCTCTCAGCACACGTCTGTACTCGGGGTCGTCCGTGTAGAGCTGGGCTCGAACTCCTCTGCGGTGCGCCGAGCGCCACTTACTGATGAACAGACCGGCGGACCAGACGGACAGATGAGCGCCGCACTCCTCCTGAAAACACCAGAGACAGCTCTGCATCACAATCATCTGGCCATGCTTTGATATCAGGATCAGGTGACCCGTCTTACTTTTGTGTCGGTTTTTCAAAGCAAAACTGGATTGGATCACCCTGATCCTGATCCTGATGCACACTTTTCCAGATTTCCAAATCTGGATTACTAGAGCTCTACGGAGCCCCTCAAGGGACATGCTGATGGGAAAAAGGCATTGCATTTACACAAATAACTACTTCTGACTGCTCCGTCTCTGATGATTGTGCTGATGTAGTTTACAATCAGTGATAAAAACAAAACAAACAAAAAAAATTTAATTTGATATATTTTTTTATAAAACGGAGAGTTCCGGTGCTTGATTCTGATTGGCTGAGCCGCGTTCGAAGCTGTTGTAAATGACTCTACAAAGTAACATACACCTTTGTTTACGTTTGTCTGTTGCTCGGCAACCACTTTGTAGCAACCACAACTGTTTCTGAGGAGCTACATTGTTTGGTGGAAGAATACTGTTTTTATTAATATTACACTTTATTTTCTCTGTTTTATTTTGTGAAACCTTATACCGTATATGGAATAACCGTTTTATAAAAGCAATAATCCCCGTGAAGCCGTGGTTTACAGTGAATTTATAACAGCTAAGGGAGTTTTAGGGCATAACAACGCCCCTTAGCCGTTATAAATTCACCGTAAACCACGGCTTCACGGGGATTATTGTTTCAGTTTGATATTGACAGCTGTTTGTAGATTCGGGGATATATTACATGTTACAAATGTTGTATTTTTTGGACCAGTTTTAAAGTATTATTACATTTTTTGTTCCTGAAATCCACCCTTCTGCTGGGATCAGAATAATCCAGTTTTTTTTTTGGGATGGAAAGTATCCCAATCTTACTAGAACGTTTTACAACCCATTCTCAAGATTTAATCCAACTTTTTGATGAAAGGTTTTGATCCACTTCAAAAGTTGACTAGTGTAGTAATGGAAAATTACTAGTGAAGTACTCAAAAGTAACTGGTGAAGTAATTGAAATAGTTACACTACTTGTTACATTTTAAACCGTGTAACTTGTAATCTGTAACCGGTTACATTTCCAAAGTAACTTTCCCAACACTGACGATAAATACCTTCTGATCTTCATCGCGAGGTGAAACTTCGACAAACCTCACGTGACCCTTCTTCTGTCCTGATCTGCGTGCGAACACAAGCTCGTTTAATGTGTGATTGTACTGATAAACTCATCTTAATGTTGATATACTGATGGACTTACGCTGCGGGCGTCTGAGGATCTACTGGAGTCGCCATTCACCTGAAAACACCACAAACACACAACCCTGGTGAAAATTAACTATGGTTTTACTACTACTAGCTACTACTACTACTACTACTACAAAAAAGGTTATTGTAGTTAAACCACAGTCACCACAAATTAACCATGGTTTTACTACTACTAGCTACTACTACTACAAAAAAGGTTATTGTAGTTAAACCACAGTCACCACAAATTAACCATGGTTTTACTACTACTAGCTACTACTACTACAAAAAAGGTTATTGTAGTTAAACCACAGTCACCACAAATTAACCATGGTTTTACTACTACTAGCTACTACTACTACAAAAAAGGTTATTGTAGTTAAACCACAGTCACCACAAATTAACCATGGTTTTACTACTACTAGCTACTACTACTACAAAAAAGGTTATTGTAGTTAAACCACAGTCGCCACAAATTAACCGTGGTTATACAAATGGTACTCAATCAGCCAAAAAAAAAAGCATGGTTAATACTACTTTTACTATAATAAAACCACGTTTAATTTTTGAAAGGGAAACTTATGAGGTAAAACATGGCTCACTCGCAGATGATCTTAAGCATGTTCATTTATTTGAAAAATGTTATTTTAATGTTTAAAATGTCAAAACCCCTTGGCGTTTTAGTGCAATGTAATAAATACATAAAATAATTAAGATTATAAGGATAAAGTCGTAACTGAAAGCCATATTTTGAGAATACCGTCAAACGTATCGAAATATTAACAAAGTTTAATACTTTATAATCTCACATATAATTAGTTAAAAAAATGAAAGACTTTACCTCGACAAACACCGAGCAGAAAGATTAACTTCGACCTTTAGGTTTCACTCGAAGAGTAAATAAACTAAAGAGAGTGCGATAGATATTAAATATGAAACTCACTATGTTTTGACGATATATCAACATCGACGCGCGAGTCAATTCTGATCACGCTAACGTTAGTTTTGTTTTTTCTTTTTCTTGTCACATCTCAATATTAGTAGTCTTGTTATGGATATTTAAGTTAAAACAACAGAAGTCGTCATATTGACTGTTTTATTAAAGTCTAAAACCTCCTCAGAAATCGTCCGTTATTTTCGCGCTCCACTCACTGCGCATGCGCGCCGATGAAATCTTCAAAATAAACGAGTAACGTTATATAATTGTAAAAACACCTATATATTTTAGGAAGAGTCGTCAAATTAAATCAGACACCCCGTACAATAAAAAAAAAATGTCATTATGAACCTCGCATGTGAATTATATTTCGTTAAAACGGCTAATTTCACTGAAAGATTCTACCTCAGTGATAATGAATCAGAAACCAGCCTGCTAGGTAGAGTTGTTAACTAATTAAACGACGATTACCTAGTCTTTGAGCTCGGTTACATCTTCAAAAAGCATCACGAGTGTTTGAATTCAAATGATCGCATCAGGCTGTTGACATGTTACCAGAAAATGTTGAATAAAAGCGTTATTATAAGACCTTATTAAAAATGAACAGACTGGGGTGGGGTGGGGGGAACTCAGACTAGCCTGACTGAAATTTTAAATAAAACCAACGTTATAGCACTTACTTATACACTTACTTACTATACTAAACAGCTATGAATGATCAGTTACTGTAGTAGATATGAATATGCATTAATTCATCTCACTCACACAAAAAAAAACCCAGATTCAGTATTTCTCAATGAATAAAAATAATGCAACTCAAAAGAATATGACGTAAACCTGCAATAATTAAATGTTAAACACAAATATCCTTTCTGTATTTAATCCCATTCTATTTGCTTCTGATCTTCGATAATCCAGTTCAACCGTACTAAGCACAAATTACTCTAGACAAACATCTGTGTGTCTTATTTTATTGCTGAAGTGTGTTGAAATTTCTTCTTCTGCATTCTACTTTACTTTCCCTTCAGCCTGAGGCTTATTCATTTCACTTTTGGTGTGAAAAAGCTTTTATATTTGCCAAAAATATAACTTTTTATATTAAAAGCAAACAAGCAAGCCCTGCCCAGATTTAAAAAGTAACGTAATGCATTACTTTCCATAAAAAGTAACCAAGTAACGTAATTAGTTACTTTTTTATGGAGTAACGCAATATTGTAACGCATTACTTTTAAAAGTAACTTTCCCCAACACTGTGAATGATTGATAATGAATTATTCCCTGCAAATAACCCTATAGTAAATATGTGTTAATATTACTCCGTACTTTAATAATTACACTGTAACAAGAAAATCAAGTCTCACCTTAATCTGTTGTTTTGACAGTTAATAGCCAACTCATCAGCTCTGCTGAATGTTTTAGCAAATCACATTTAATACACTTTAATAATCAAGGAAGTAAATCAACGCAGTGCAGCAGTGAATTGGTCCAAATGATTTTATTAAAAAATGTAATCTCAGGATAATGTAAACCAGTTTAAACACCATCTAAAAATCAGCGGTTCATCTGTAACACAAACTCGACTACATGTAAAACTCTGTTCTAGAGGATCCGTGACGAGCAGCGCTGAATATGACACGCGTGATCAGGTTTGTTCAGAGGCACACAAGCAACATTCGTCCATTTTTTACACACAAAACGAGAACTGCTTTCCTTTAGCGTCTCAAGAGGAGCATTCAGGGAAACGAGTGTCAGTTCGAGTCCTCCAGGTTGCCGCTCTTTTGGTCAGAATTGTTGCACAGGCGGTCCATGATGCTTTGCAGGCTGGGCTGGACGATGCCCAGCAGGGGTCTCTGGGAAGGGTCTCTGTTCCAGCAGGCCTCCATCAGCTGCCAGCACTCCTCGTCAAACGTGGGCAAACGCTCCGGCCGCGAGCCTGAAAGCAGCAAACGCACACGGAGTTTACCCAGAGTTCACAGCGCAACGTCAACGCGATCCGCCGACTGGGGTTCGTTACCTTTCTTGACGTTGGTCCACAGCTGGTCTTTACTGGAGCATTTCTCAAAGGCTTCTGGGAGTTTGACGGAGCCGGAGCAGAGATACCAGAAGAGGATCCCAAACGCGTACACGTCGACGGAGTTATCGTACTTTCCTACGCAAAATAAACAAACACACGTGCAATCGGAAAACGAATGTAAACAATAACTACAGTAACTTCATTTTCATAACATAAAAATTTACATTTTTCATTTTCAATTCTAAAATAATTTAAAGATGGTTCATTTTGCTGTCCAGTATTAAAATCGCATACTATTTTTTTTCTAAATAAATTGCCATCAAGTTAATATTTAAATTTTTAAATCATTTAAAAATCATTTTTATCAACTGATATTAATATTGGATACTACATTTTTAACATTTCAAAATAATTAAAAACTCATAACTTATCACCTGATGTTAAAATCGTATACTGTTATGTCTAAACAAATAAAAGATGAAACACAAAAAACTAAAATCAATCATCAATCGAGCATTAAGCGGTTAGTGACCTGTGAAGAGTTCCGGTGCCATGTGGATGGGCGTCCCTACGATACTGCCGGATATCATGGCCTCGGGTTTACAGAAGCCCAGGTCAGTGATCTTCGCCCGGTTCTGTCTGTCCAACTGCACAGAAGAAAACAAACACACATTATAATGCGTTATAAAGCACTATGAAGTGTTATGATGCATTATGAAGGGTTACAAAGGATGTCAAAGTGTTATGAAGGGTTATGATGCGTTACAAAGAGTTATGATGCATTATGAAGCGCTATGAAGCATTATGATGCGTTACAAAGTCTTATGATGCGTTATGAAGCACTATGATGCATTAGGAAGTGTTATGATGTGTTACAAGGTGTTATGATGCGTTATAACGCATTATGATGCTTTACGTAGTGTTATGATGCTTTGTGAAAAAGCGTTATGAAGCACCATGATGTGTTATGAAGCATTATGAAGTGTTATGATGCATTATGGTGTGTTATGAAGCACTATGATGCTTTACGTAGTGTTATGATGCGTTATGAAGCACTATGATGTGTTATGAAGCATTATGATACATTATGAAGCACTATGATCGTTATGGAGAACTATGAAGCACTATAATGCATTATGAAGTGTTATGATGCATTATGAAGCACTATGAAGTGTTATGATGCATTATGAAGCACTATGATGCCTTATGATGGGATCTCGTCACAGAGAATCAGATGGTGGATGCAGTTTCTCACCAGAACGTTCTTCAGCTTGATGTCGCGGTGTAGGAGACCCTGACTGTGCAGGAACCGAATCCCCTCCACCACGTCCAGAGCGATCTGAAGACGCTCCTTCAGAGACAGACCGGCCTGAGAGAGACAGACACGTCAATCACAACCATAGACGGAAGAACAGACAAACAGCCGGTGTCGTGATGTTACCTTCAGTCCCGTGTAGAGGTCTCTGTGTAATCGCTCCATGATCAGCAGAACCGCGATACTTGAGCCGCCGCTGTACGAGTGATCGATAACTGACCCGTGGAGATTCACTAAACGATTGTGTTTAGGCAGAGACCTGATGGACACAGAGAACTTTAATGAATAAACAACAAAACACCCCAACAAATGCTACTGTTATTTGTATCGAATAAAAATTAAACGAATAAAAAAACTATTACTAGTTCTTATTAATTACTAAAAATATAACTGATAATTACAATAATAAAAATAAAAAGTAAAATTACAATTAATAATTATATTAAAAATGATGAGCACTATCATTATTATTATTTAAATAATAATAAATTAAAAACATAAAAAAACAAAGAACTATTATTTTCTTTCAATAAAAATGTATAAATAAAAATAATATAATTACATAACAATAAGCATTATTATCATCATTTTTAAAGAGTAAATGTACTTAGAAACACTGCACTGGAGTGGTGTTACCGTGTGTAGTGGAACTCCAGCGCGAGGTCGTTCCAGTGCTTGTCATCAGGAGGAACGACTGACTTTAGGGCACACGGGTGACGTCCACCCCAGCTATCACACAGATACACCACACCGTACTGACCACGGCCCAGCTCACGGCCCATCTTCGGCTTTCCTGAGGACACACACACACACACAGACTCAGACTGACATCACACACACACACACACACACACACACACACACACCATGTGATCCGTGTGTGTGTGTCTCACCGTGCAGCAGAATGTCTCGCAGCGATCGGCTCTCCAGTGACAGGCGGGCGAGTCGAGGGGCGTGATCCTTCCTGACCCGCAACCACAGGTCTTCAGTTCGCTCCAGACGCCCCGTGTGACCCTCCTCCAGCTGCACACACACACACACAGACAGAGACACACACACACACACACAGACAGAGACACACACACACACACACACACAC